CTGCTCTGTTGGCCATAACTGCAATCCAACATGGACTGCATGAAGGAAATCTCGAATAAATCACTTGTGCTAACTAGAGACACAACCCTTGCCAGGAGATGCAACTGGCTGCACCCAATTAAAGCTTAACGAGTAAGGAGGAGCAACAAATGCCCAGTGATGTGTAGCTGGTTTCATGTTAAAGAAACATTCGTTTATTTATTTGTAATACTTAGTCCTTTTGGTTAAATCACTATAAAATACACTATAAAAAAGGCAGAAAAGGAGCAAGATACAAAGAGAAGATGAGAGAAACATTAAGGAAAGAATCAAGGAAGAATTAAAATTAAGCTGCTGAGCAATACAGTGCATAGGGGAGAGGTAGATTCCTGAACACATGGAAACAGAAAAGTTAAATTTAGAAAGAATCTATAATGAAGATGTGGAATTACTAGAAGTAAAATGAAGATGAGTACAAAAAAGAGAAAATAACTGAGCGGTGAAGCAAAAATTACTATAAACAGGGTGAGGTACAAAGGATAACAAGAGAAAACAGGAAAGCAATATTAAAACTTATGGGAAAGGTCATCTTAATGTGGTACCGCTCAGTTGTCCAATAAAAGCACTGAAGCATTTGTCCATATACAACACAAGCAGTTGACACCTGCAAATTAAAGTGCACGACACAGACTGCAATATATCAAACTGAAAGTGTTCTAGGGAATAGGACAGTGAATGAAAACCTAGGACCTGTATTAAATTACAAGTTTGGCCATTATCTTCCTATGAGATATGAAAAATGGGAATATAATACCTCCTACCTTGTTGTGAGGATAAAACTCATTAATTATGAACAGCTCACATATTACATGCAGCACTGGGAGGGAAATAAGCAAGTAGAATCTAATTGCTGTTGTAGGATAAAGAGCACAAAGGTGTATGAGTGATTGATGGACTAAGGGGTTACAAATTGATTGTTTTATCTAAGAGACTGAGAAATCCAAATGCCAAAGAATGCTTGATCTTCATGTGCTTTTTTTTTTTTCTTTAAGTCCCAGCAAACACAGTCATTACATTCAAAAAAGGCCCATTGAGACAGTAGATGAAAAATTAGATAGTTCTTCTGAATGTGGTACATAAATGGGAAGAAAGAAAGAAAATTATCCTGCAGCATATTAACACACACCAGAAAAAATACACAGAATTAAAGCTAGAGGATTGTTCCTCTATTAAAACTATAATTTTAAAAGGATGACTGGAGACAACTAAAAAGTAGCAGGCAGGACCTGTGAGATAGATTTATTCTAATACTTCAACATCTAAAAATTCAGATCTCAGAGGATTCTGTTACAGGAACCTAATCAACAGAGAGAAACACACATCTAGAAATGATTCAACTGACCTTAGACACCTGTCTCAGAATAAAGAGCAGCTCTCTATCCACAGTGACTAGCTTAGATACCTGATTTTAATAAATAAATTTCTGCTACTAACTATTCCTAGTTGTACAAAAAGAGAAATATAGTATCATGTGCTGTGATTAAATGAAGTCTCACAGCATGGTAGAGAAAAAAATATTTACTTGTTAGGGACAGCAAAGAAAGGATGACAAAAGCAGTTTTACTAGCCAGTGCTTCAGAGATGATTCTAGTAAAATTTCTCTATATTAAAAAAATCAAAGATTCCACTTAAGTCTTCTCAAGTATTTTTTTTCAGGCAGGAACAAGGGAGAAGAGTTTGAGGTGTTCACATCCATATTTGAGACTTGGATGCAGGTTTTTCTCAAAAAAATTCAGTATCAGATCAATAACCATCTTATTGCCTCTTCTTTCAAGTTAGATTACTGATCACAATGACAGGACAGGCAAAATACAGCTATTTTCACACTCAGCATGTTTTATCCAAAAGTATTTAACTAATTCTTACCACCTTAATGAGATGCAAATCATCCATAAACAAAGCCACAACTTTCTATTCCCAACAAAGCTATACAGCCAGAATACAAATTTGTCTTGGATTCCTAATCTGCATTTATCTAACCAGCCTCAATTTTACAGATGAAGGAAAATAATTCCTACATTTTAAATTTTTAAAAAAATGTTTGCATAAAAATTTTAACAGCGAAAAACTCATGACACATGGAAGACACTTTTTTAGGAGGTGCATGTTAATGGTTCCTGGAATACTGGGTCTTTTAAAGGGATCCAAATCTGCATGTATAAATTACATCTTTAAAACATTTGTTCTTCCATAATATAAATGTATTTTGTTTATTAAGATTTAATACTGATACTGCAGCTGAAGGAGGATAATGTTTAGCATCATTATGAAATATTCACCTTTTCTAAATAGCAAGAATCATAGAATCATTTAAGTCGGAAAAGGTCTTTAAGATCATCGAGTCCAACCTTAAACTTAGCCCTGACAAGTCCACCACTAAACCATGTCTCTAAGCACCACATCTACATGTCTTTTAAATAACTCCAGGGATGGTGACTCAACCACATCCCTGGGCAGCCTGTTCCAGTTCTTGACAACCCTTTCAGTGAAGAAATTTTTCCTAATATCCAATCTAAACCTCCCCTGGTGCAACTTGAGGCCATTTCCTCTCATCCTATCACTTGTTACTTGGGAGAAGAGACCAACACCCACCTCGCTACAACCTCCTTTCAGGTAGTTGTAGAGAGTGATAAGGTCTCCCCTCAACCTCCTTTTCTCCAGACTAAACAACCCCAGTGCCTTCAGCTGCTCTTCATAAGACTTGTGCTCCAGACCCTTCACCAGCTTCATTGCCCTTCTTTGGATATGAAGAAGCAGAATTTGAGTATGTTTCTCTGGGATGAACAAACCCAGCCATTAGCAGATATGCTGAACCATTGAGGGCTCAGTGGCTGAGATATCTGAGTCTGGCCTCTCTTTCGATGGTGGAATTGGAACTCATGGGGAATTGCTTAATGCTTTATCCTTAAGTCAAAATATTTGTTCTGATCAGCTAGGCAAAAAAGCTTAAAAGACTGACAGAAAGCACACACTCTCCAACAGCCAGAGCTTGTAAATACTGTACTTTCTGGTATCTATTCCCTTCACATTGTTTTCTAAATTTAGAATTAAATAAAAAGATTACAAGCAAAACAAAACAAAAACAACAAAAAAAAAAAAAAAAAAAAAAAAAAAAAAAAAAAAAAACCTCCTTTGTTTTTCCTACTTCCTCTTTAAGCTTTTGATTTGAGGATTATTATGAAGGAAAGAAAACTACTTATTTCAACACATATAGACAAATAAACATCCTGGCAACTCAAACAGAACCACAGTTTCAATACTATATTTTTATATTTTACACAGTCCATATATCACAGATCTCCAAAATATTTCAGCCCACTAAGCTGAAATTCCTAGGTCTTAAAATTTTTTATTGTAATTCAAAACATTTCAAAATAATAACTTAAGCTGTTTTTGACTTTTGGTATTGCACTCTGTGTTGCTCACACCATGTTACAGTGCTCCTTGTTTCTTGACTGATTGGCCCTGACTCACAAGGAACTATTCTTAAACGGACAATAAATGTTATTATACACTCATTCCAAGAGCTCAAAAAGACTTAAAAAGAAATAAAACTGAAACCTGAATATAAATAGGACACCTGGTAGAATAATTTTTTTTTTTTTTTAATTTGGGTTAAGAGTTGTGGGAGGGTTGTCTTTTTTCTTTTCTGGCAGAAAAAAAGAAAGTTAAAGAAAATGAATAAACTGTGGAACAGTACTTCCTTTCCTGCCTTGCCTACCAGATTTGGGTTTATGTTCTAGAAGTAGTCACTTCAAGACCTTTCCCAATACTATTTAATCATAACAGATAAAGCAGGGTCTTTTACTTCACACTGTAATCTACCATCACTATATGATACATTTAGATTCAAAATCCAATGTTTAAGATTTGTAATTCTGTTTCCAGAAGTGATTAAGATCTGCCATCCCAGTGAATTTAATGAGAAGATCTTTCAAATTTAGGTTATTCTAAAGAATTTTACTTAAAGCATGCAAAGTTTAAAACTTAGGTCTGTACACTTTGTTGTATCTGAATTCCAGTACTCGTAACTCTATATAAGCATATCAAATAGTTCTGCTTGACATGATCTATGTACCTTCTTTAATTGCCTTACAGCAGAAGCATCAATTACAGTAGTAATGCCATCAATCTCTAAAGAATACTTGATTAAAAAGTGCAAATGAAGCATGCTGGCAATTCTGATTAATACATTTACAACATTTTTTCTATGGTTTTATAAATTAAATCCATAATGAAGACAAGCAGTTGTATTATCTCAAGTGAAGGTGAGGATAACTTGTCTTCTCCCCAGAAGACATTAAGAACCTTAATAGTTAAAGCCAGACAGGAAACTTTAAACCACTTAAAATAAGATTTTTAGTAGAACTAGGAACTGAAATATCATACATTTTGTCTAAATCTTGGGACTGGGTTTTCAATTTCCCCAAAGCTTATTACAGTCATATGAGTGATCACAAAGTGCATGAAAATAGTTATTCAAGTAACATTTTACATCTGCTTTCCCCTCATGTAAATAATTTCTTACAAAGCATACAGAACAAGATAATATGAGCTTGGGAAATAGGGCCAGAAAATTGTTCCTTCAGAGTAAAGTAAATTATTTACATTTATAATTTTGAATCTCCAGTGCTATAATTATGATTTTATTACATTTCAAAAAGTGAATGATACTGCTGCCAGGATCTTTCTTCTCACAGCACATTCCCTGACTGATCAGTAACTCAGACTGTATGAGGAAAGACAGACTTTGAGAATTAGAACATAAAATATTATCTGGCTCTTGAGGAAACTTTTGAAGATGTTTCTAAATTTCTTGGTTTCTTGCTTCTTCAAAATATTTAAATGTTAGTCTTAGACTTTCATTAATATTTTCAATCCCTTAATTTTCTGAGATTACAGGCAATGAAACAAATTACATATTTGTAAAATATGACGAATAAAAGAAACATATTACTTACATCATTCTGATCATCTTTTGCATTGTAATAAATTATATCATTATTCTGTAAGAGAAAGAAAAGTAATTCTGTTAGCTTGAAAGTAGAGAATAAAATTTACTAGCATTAATTTGTACTAAAATACATTTTTAAATAAACCCATATTTGTTTATATATTCTCTTTCAGACTTTTGCTTGCTCTCTGTTGCATGTAATATTTCCCATGCTTATGTTTAACTTCATTCATTTAATGTTTCTTCCTTGGTAGGCTACATAAGTCATTAAAAAAAAAAAAAGATAGAAAAGTACAGAGAACATTGGACAAAATTCAGAGCTTTTAAAAGACTTCTGTGAACTGTTTCTTTTGCAGGCATATGATTTTTTCACTATGCAATTAAGTGATTTATGCACCATGACATCTAGCAGGCAATAGATACAATGACGCATGGGCATTTCTAAGTGTGTTAAGTATTTGTTGCACACACATTTATTGACTTATTCACCTCCCACGGTGAAAATAAAAACTGGGAAAATACATCACAGGAGAGTCTGGCTGTTGTAGCATAGAGTGAATCCTGGCAGCTCTGTGGAAATGCTGTGCCATGTAATTCAAGCAAAGCAATGATGGAGATCACTAGTTTCTACTACAAAATCAGTCAGAAGTTTTGTTCAGTGTAACATCTACAGCAGTTTGAAAACTGGGTTATTTCCTATGGAGTACAGTTGTGTTTTGCCTTGAAATATTTCTGAACCATTTGAAAGCCTTAAAGATTTAGGTACACTGTAGTAGCTTTCCACTAAATAGAATTGCTGTAATGTGCCCTATGCTTTTTTGAGTGAAAGTAAGTAATTATTATGTGCATTTCCATATGAAATAGAGCCATATATGTACATAGCAAGTTTTAAGGTACCATTACAGATTTTGAAAAAAAAAAAAAAAAGAAAAGTTACATTTCTTCATGCCCAGCAGCTTGTTTAAAAGAGGCTATTGCTGTTAACTTCCCAAAATAGCCTTAATTTATGTTTTCAGTTCTGTTTATGATAATAGCTTTGTTTATATATTGGATAAATAAAATGTTGACCACAAAAAATTTTTTTTTCTTTTATAAATACCAATAGAGAAGAATGATTTCAGTAATCCTTTTTCTAGTGGGTAAGCCAATGACAATTATTATTTGCACTAAAAAGCACCATGACATGTGCTACAAGGTTCATCTTTATAAACCACTGTTTTCCTTACTTCATAAATAATGACATCGCTCATTCTCCTTGGTGACATTTTTGAGATCCAAACATGAAATATATTATAGATGAGCTAAATGACATTTTGAGGTAAACACTATTAACATGAAATTATTCTCTTTCCTTCAAGAAGAAGGAAAAAGCATATCCTCTGCTTTTCCATCAAGACAGTGTTTTATCCACAGGTCAGTTGGTTTTGTATCAGTATCTGGTAACTAAGCCAAGACTCAGTGTAATACAGACACAGGAGAAAATTTCTTTCATCATTAAAGACCAAATCTAATTGCTTATTCACTTGATTGCTGTAGAGAAAAGACCATGTAATGCTTGTGGAAACCTTCAAGTAAGTTGGAAGAGGCAAAAGATTCAATTTTCTTCAGATCCTCTTTACTTTGTAAACAGTTATGTACAAAATAGCTGTTCTGTAAATAATTTGATCTGTTCAAAAAGCCATGTGATTCTTTAGCAAGAAATATTTTAAACTGCAAAGGATACAACTCCAAATGCTACTAGCTAGAAATATTAGTAATGTGTTTTCATCACAAGATGATCTGTTTAAGTTATACACACACACACACACACATAAAAAAAAAAATTATTCACTTCAGAAAACAGGAGAAAAGAATATTTCTTTCACCATACCTCCTTATGATATATTATGTTAGAGCAGTTCCCCTGCAATCTCTTCCCTGGAAGCTTTTGTTTGGGAAAAATTAGACCAGGAAAAACAATACAGTCATTATTACCTGGATATTATGTATATATTCTTTTTATTTAGTGGTTTCATTTTCAAAAGGAACATTTTCATAAAACACAGTTCTATTAGGCCTTTTTTTGTACTGACTCTCATCTAGATATCAGTTTATTTTCCCACCACCTTCCCATTGCTCAACTTTACCCTAACAGTATACCTTGTCATAGAATCATTTAATGCATAGGATTTTTAATGCTGTCCTCTATGCATACAATTCTGTTTATCTATTTAAACAAAAGTATTCTTTATTGTCACTATTATATTTTCCCCTGTCTTTTATATTTTTATTTATTTGTTTAAATTGATCGAAGCTGGCATAGCATTGCTATCTATTTCTACTGGACTAAACACTATTTTTTAAATCACCTGTTAAAGAATTATATTTCAGAAACATGATACTTTTACAAGTTAATTAAAATAACCCCTAGCACCACCCCAAATTAATTAGATATTTTGTTAGGCTATTCACACTTTGTAGTTCATCACCCTGCCTGGAGATAATACCTATAAAATGTATAAAATAATGCTGACATTAGTCATATCTCACTACTCTTAATACAGGAAATATGAGATACACAGTGCTGTAACACACCGAATGCTCTACAGTTCACAAATTAGATTTGTGGATCAGTTAGATCTTCAGAGGACAATTTTTCATAATTTAACCACTTCTACTTGACAAGAACAAATTGCTTTGTTGCTGGTTCTCAAGCGAGTAGTTTGGTTATTTATTAACTTCTTGACACAAAGAATTTGAATCTTGCCACTGTTATGCACTTCTGCCACGAGGTAATACTGCACACTTATTCAGCAAGTCTAAAATACAATGTAAATATTCTAGATATTTATTTTTGTTCTTTATCCAATAATGCTATGAGAGAGAGGGGTAAGTACTCACTGTTACTTCTGCTCATGAATGAAAGGATTAGTAAGACAGTCCTGAAGATGAATCTATGGAAGAATTACTTTAGGGGACCATATGCATCAATTAGAATCTTTAGCATAGCATCAGTACACAAGTCTACAGAATTTCTGCAGTTGGAAAAGTGAAAAGTAGTTTTCACCATCATTAATCCCCCCTTCAAAGCAAACAGTTTCAGTATCTGACAAGGATATAAAAATTACAATAAGGACCAGGTCTTAAATATTTTATTTGTGACTCTTTCTTCAATTCTATCCTAATAATCTTTTTTCTTCCATGCTTTCATTGATATTATTATCTATTAAAGTTATATTGTTCCATTGTCTTTATATTGCTTTTCATTTCAATAGTACTTTGTTTTCCAGCTTTGGGTATAAAACAATTTCAATGGGAAACACTACATACTGCTTAGTACTGATGACTTCCCAAATTTCACCACACAGAATCCAGTTTCTGGTGTCTATAATGTCTATATCTAGAGATTTGAAGAAACACAAAGATTCGTCAAATACAAAAAAAACATAGGAAAATACAATCTTTCAGAACATGTGTGGATGAAATTTGGATGCACACCAACACTAGCTTACACTCACATTTTATTCTCTACACAGCAAGTTTACAGACATACTCTATTGATTTGATTAGTTAAATATCTAATCTCAACTCAAGATTATGTGAATGGAGATGAAGTTGGCTTGTCATCAAAGAAAATAATACCTTTTTCCAATCAAATCCTTCAAGAACAACACAAAGGGATTACACTGCAACAAGACATATTTGACTCTACAGATAATTACGTATAGTACATCATGGTAATATAGCTATGTCATTTCACTGGTAAAAGCTATATTTCTTCCTTTATTTCACCAAGTGCTAAAGATGAAAGTTTCTTGTCATCACTGTCATCTAATAACATCTCAGAAAAAAAAAAAATCATTGCTTTGTAAATCTTGTGCTAGAGTTTCAATAATTATCTATGAAATATGGACAAATACAAACCTCATGGAGTTTAACAAGGCCAAGTGCAAGGTCCTGCACATGGGTAGAGACAATCTCATGCACAAATACAGGCTGTGCAATGGGTGGATTGAGAGCAGACCTGAGGAGAAGGACTTGTGATATTGGTTGATGAGAAGCTCAACATGAACTGGCAGTGTGTGCTCACAGCCCAGAAAGCCAATTGCATCCTGGGCTGCATCAAGAGAAGTGTGGCTAGGAGGTCGATGGAGGGGATTCTCTCCATCTGCTCTCATGAGACCCCACCTGCAGTGCTGTGTCCAGCTCTGGGACCCCCAATATAAGAAGGACATGGACCTGCTTGAGCAGTTCCAGATGAGGCCGTGAAGATGATCAGGAGACTAGAACACCTCCCCTATGAGGACAGGCTGAGAAAGTTGGAGTTGTTCAGCCTGGAGAAGAGAAGGCTCTGGGGACACCTTATAGCAAACTTCCAGTACTTAAAGGGGGCTACAGGAAAGGTGAGAATTGACTATATCAGAGACTGCAGTGATAGGACAAGGGGTAACGGTTTTAAACTGAAAGAGGGTAGATTTAGATAAGATATAAGGAAGAAATTCTCTGCTGTGAGGGTGGTGAGACACTGAAGCAGGTTTGTCAGAGAAGCTGTGGCTGCCCCCTCCCTGGAAATATTCAAGGCCAGGTTGGATGGGGCTTTGAGCAACCTGGTGTAGTGGAGGGTATCCCTGCCCATTGCAGGGGCACTGGAACCAGATGATCTTTAAAGTCCCTTCCAACCCAAACCATTCTGTGATTCTACACCACTAACTGGTCAAACCTCTTTTTTAGTGGAAACATTGTACATGTGATTTTTTGATTATTTGCTTTTCCACCAGAGCTGTTTACATTTCATTCAAGTAAGGAAAAAAAAAAAAAAAATCCTGGAAATTTTAAGATTTTCAACACCCAATACTGTCTATTCAGAAATGTTACTTTAATTGAAGCTGTGACTAAGATTACTTATACACTCATTTATGTGAGCCTTCCTAGAGACTCTATGTAAACTAGGTCCCTGTGATGTAGTCCAAAATGGTGCTAGGCATGCAGGGGAGATTGAAGACCTGAAATGAATTCTAGAACTTTGTGAGACTGTATTATAATGAACTACATGAAAATAAATAGATTTAAAAA